AAAAAGAAGCACGAGGCTTGAAGCCAACTCAGCAGGTTCCAGTTCCACACCTTGCCAAGATGAAGTGAGTACAGGCCAAAAAGGAGGAAGCTAGGCACCTGCTTTCTGGTTCATGATAGTTTTGCATTTTTGCCTGCACCATTGCTTGTGCAAGGAAGGAAGCAGAGAAGAACAACAAAGCAATAAAAGCTGCTCGGAAAGTTCGATGCCCAGAACTTGAACTTAATTGGTCTTTTTCAATTTTCACTCTTGTGGCCGCGCTGACCTGAAGCTGTGAGGCGCAAGAAATAAAAGATGAGACAGATGACACGTACCAGATCATGGCCAACCTCGCATGATTTCTGCAACGCAGGGTGGCGTAAACAAAGTACAGTCTGCCGCAGTCTGCCCGTGAACAGGATAAGAGCGGCCTCGGAAATTTCATGGCTTCGGGCCCAGCATGCCGTCGCAGCATCATCTTGTCAAGCGTACCGGCTCAAGAGCAGCGCAGAAATTTCAGCGGTGCACCCACTATCAATCAAACAAGGAAAAGACCGACGTCATGGACATCATGAAGAACACAGTGAAAACGGCCGTCTCGCAATCAGGATCACGATGTCAGCTGCGCCCTCAAAAACAGCGTTTGTCCACCACAGGCCCTCGCGTCACAACTCGTAACGTCAGTCACATGCGAGTTGTTTTTTGAAGTGCTTGAGGGTGTCAACCAGAACCGTCATGGACGAGAAGCTCTACACCAATGGACAAGCCAAGTTCGAGTCCTTGGGCGATCTGAAGGCTTGAAACGTGGACGTCATGCCATCAACAGCCAGACATAGCCAGATTTAGCCGACATAGTCGTAGCCAGTCCTGCTTCAACCCGCCGCTGAGATGTAATTTGTTCGGTATGCCCTCGCAGGCCCTACAGGGCTTCATCTTCATCCGAGGTCCTAAGGAGGACTCTTCGGGCTGTGCCAAAGGTGGGAAGTCTTTGTCGCTTTCCCGGGCAGGAGCCAGGAGTCAAACTCACCTTGCAGCGGCCCGCGACCGTGTATGTCGCCTTGAGCAAGGCTCCCAATGAGGCCTGCCTGGAGCACTAAACACATCTTTGTTGCTTAATAGTTACAATTCTGAAATTCTTCTAAGCTCATCATGTTTGAGATGCGTTCATTTTTTCGCATTGGGCAGTCAGTGGAACTTGTCCATTGAATCCATTCCCCCGTGCATCTTCCACATCGCGCAGCATCGTGCAACATCGGTCAGATGCTTTGGATCTTGTCATGTCATGCCAGCTCCTGGCAGAGGTGGATCTTCTTAGGTTTGGTCCACCCACAAGCTTTCCTCAACTAACGAGTGTCGTTTTTTCGATCTACGTTCCCAGGATTTCTTGTTCAACGCAGGATGTAGTTTCGGGATGTTGCGGGCTCAGTGCAAGCACATGCCAAGCAGCAGTGAATTGGTGTCCAGATCTCAAGCGACTGGGCATTCGCATCTGTAGATTCGGCTGCAAAACCCAGCCATTCAGGCTCGGACGCTTTTGATCTTGTTATGGACTTTCTGGCCATCATCTTTGGCGTTCTTGGCTTGCCATTTTGGCGAGGAGCAGGTTTGTTGCGGCCATTCTGGGCTGAAGTGGTCGCGACTCGGTCTGCCCGACCTCCGCAAAATTGGCATCGACCTCCATGTCTGGGGTGCGGCTTGATTGCCGTGAGTGCATACATGAAGGCTTTCAACTTTTTGTGGCGTCTGAAGAAATTGGCCACGTGCACGGTGCACGTGAATTATAGTCATAGAGCAGTGTTTCTTGCCCAAGCCGTTTCTTCAACTTCACGCATCTGCCCGGGCAAGAACGTCGAACTTCTTCTACGCGCCTGGAAGTTCTATTTTAACCTGCGTATGCATGCGTCCCCCGGGATTGGCATGAACACCGCTGTCGATGATGTAACATCACGCGATGTGACATCTGGCGTCACCGCGAACTGGAGATGTGGGATATTGTGGGATGACCCGATGTTTTCCTCGCCCATGGCCACAGGCACAGGCCCAGCCCAAGCCGCGGAAGATGGAGCACACGTGAACGCAGCATGGCGAGAGCCTGCTCCCAGCTAGGCCCCGTAGGCAACGCAGCTGTCACATAGAATGACTCACTAGCAGAGGGCCGGGGGAGGGGTGAGGAGTTCCCGACCGCGTTGTCATTATGAACCTACCGCAATGTAAGCCCAAGCACTTTGCTGCCAGACGTTTCTGGATGTTGTGGCCTTCTGCAGGATGATCCATTTCTGAGAACGTGGCAGGCCTGTCACAGCGTCGCTAGATGAAGCGATTTTTGCATTGATTTTTTCCAGGTGCTGGGTAATGATTTCAATCTGCTCCTTGGTTGGAGCTACAACGGTGCAGCTGCATTGTGTGGAGACGTGTTGAACCCGAGTCATTGAGGCCTGAGTTCTCTGAGGATATAGCGCCGATACATGAGGTCAAGAAGAAGGCGTCGCAGTTGACATGTTCGGCACATCGGCAATATCAGCAGGACTCCAGTCTGTGCATTTTGTGCAGGTTTACCGTGATCCAGACAACCGAAACATTGAAGTCCCAAAGCCGCCTCCTGGCCTTCAAACATGTCTCGTGTTCGCTGGCGCCCAAGTCGCCTAAATGTTTCTTCACATGCGGGAATGAAGTTTTCAACGTTTCTTGATATCGCTCCAGGTCCTGCCGGACTTTCACGCGGACCTGTATGGAGAGGTCGGGAGGTCATGACGCCAAAGCCCTTAACAGGAGCAGATCGTTGGCTTTTTCGTAGGAGAGGCTGTCAGAAGAGGAGCTCCAAGAGAAGCTGCTTCCCAAGCTCAAGCTCGTTGTTATGTGATGTTGGTGTTTCCTTGACGGAGCATGGGGGCATGGTGGGCCGAGTCTTGTGCTGAGGGAGCGCGCGGACGCTGCAGCCAGGTCAGGATGTTGCCGTTCTTTTCTTCGCACTTTGAACAGAGTCAGAGTGAAGCAGTGAAGCATAGAGGCGTGCTGGGAAGTCTACTGCATCCAGCTCAACCAAGGAGAACGCTACTGCCACTGAGTCAGAGTATCGATTTTGACTGTGCTGGAAAGGAATCTGACCAGTTTTCGCAGATTTCCCGGCCGGGAGGGGTGCGATAGTACATGATCGAGGAACCCCAGCCACGCCCACCACGACATTTTTGTCAGCCTTCGGGCACCGAAGCACTGGGCATCTTCGAGGGCCCCCTTTCCGTGCGAAGATATCCAACGTATCTCGTCGGGGGGTTAAACCTCACCGGCTTTGTATGCACCGGGGGAGTGGAGCACCACAATCAGGGAACACTAACACTTGTGTTCCGTGCATTCATGTTCTTGTGAAAGCGGTTTCTTTGTTTGCTTTTTGGGGCAAAAGGCTGTCGAATCTCCCTGCTAGGACAGATTTTGCGTGCACGACGGCATGGCGCAACCAAATTGCTCCTTTAGGGGATTTGAACTTGTTCTCACGTTGTGTTATGCTTCTAGAATTCCAGTGTCACGGCCTGCGTGCCCAACGCGATGAGTATGCGGAATGACAGCTATGAACAAAGCCGTACAAGCAGGCACTCTTTCGGACCAGGCTCGTTTATCGAACTGTATATTTCATCACCGATGATTGCATCACACAATGCTGATGCCGGAAGTGTGTTCCAGCCATTCACCCACATGTTACAGCGATACACCGACTCATCGGCCCCGAACCCCGGCGGCACGAGCCTGCACCGATGCATGCACCGACACACCGGCACACCAACGTACTGTCGCGACCCTCTATCGGTGCGCAGCGACACCGATACATCTCCAGGTCTCCAGCAAGATCGTACGTTTACTTCACTCACAGATGACACAGTTTTACCAGAACTGGCTTGTCCCGCCACCCATACTGCTATGGTGCATTCATTCACTCTGCGAGTTCCCAGCCTTTTGATGGCTTTTGCCTACTGGGTGAGTGGAAACACGTTCCCTGTGCAGTTCAGGACCCTCACGGTCAGGAACTTCGAACCTTTTAAGGGCCGATGACACTGTGATCAACTTGAACAAGCTTGGAGTCTTACGTGCCGGTGTTGCACATTGCCAGTTGCAGGAGACAGTGTCCAAGGCAGATGAGCTGGAGGCAACCTGTTGTGTCGTGAAGAAGTAAAAAGATTTCAACATGCCGGAGCGAGCCGCTCGAAGATGTGAATATCACGGTTACCAGGCAATTCTGAAGAAGGTGGAAGCAGGAGAAAAGCTGTCGAACAAGGAGATGCCCACACAAACCAACGTTTGCTTGACATGAGTACTGGACGTCCAATCGTTCTCATGTTCAAGCCGGGTGTTGCATGCAAGTTGCTTGATGGTGATGTCCGAGTTCTGCCTTCAAGCCCCGTTGGAGACGTCGCGCCAGTCAGGAGAAAAGGGCTTATGAAAAGCACCAGGAGAAGCAGTGGCCCCACCGTTTGATGTTTGGTCTTGCTGGCGTGTCACAGCCGAGAAGCACGCAAAGAAATAATGGGAAGCCACTTCATTACTACAATTTCTCGAGCACTCCCCTCTCTCCCTCCCTAGAGAAAGCTCATCATACTGCCGTCCTCCACCCCCCCCTCCCCCCCTCCCCCAACTGCCTGCTCCGCTCCTCTCACTCCCAACGCCTGTCTCCACCACCCAAATAATGATAGTCTCCCGCCAATAAAAAATACCACCCCTCCCATTTCGAAGAACTTGCGTGTGCAGCACTTGATGTTGCCGAGGAATGTCGTTTACAAGAATGAGGATGATGAACCTGTCGGAGGAATGAGCGCCTTCAGCATCATCCTGGAGGCCGCCGTTACTCGGTGTTTGCTCTCATGTGTGTTCTCAAACGGCTGGTTGCAAGAGGGTGGGAAGAATGAGCCGCCTCCTTCTGGCGACGCTTTCGTCTGCAACAACTTTACGCTGTCCGCTCCGAAGCAGACTCTGTTCGACAATGCCATGACCCTACGATGCAGCATGTCTAGACTTGTCCGAAAGAACCCCTCCTCACACTGTGGCTCGGAGATCTCGAACGTGCAGTGAAGGCGAGCATCACCATTGTGCAGGGACACCGCTACGGCATCCTTGGGCCAAATGGCCAGGCCAGAAGAAGAGAACACTCGATGGCCATAGAAGTTCACGGCCCATGCGAGTTATGAAGAGTAAACACCTATGACCTATGAGATGTCGGATGTGATTCCGAATCTTAGAGCTGAACTCTGTGTGTGTGTTGTTGATGCACAGGGCAAGACTACACTGCTGCGACACATCGCGGCACGTGAGATGCACCGGCCCCAAGCTTGCCATACAATGCGGGCCGTCCTAAAACCCTTCCTTTCAGTTTGTGAGGCCCAGAGATGTCAGGGATACAGCGATACAAATGCTCATTTCGTGCGCTGGCGAAAGCACCGCGATAGGTTCCACGAAATACAGTTAAAAAAACTACAGCTTCTGGCATCCATACCGATGCATGTTGCAGGCTTCTAAGTCTTCCAGGTGTCGCAAGAATATTTCGGGCCTCTTATCCCATTTATCAGCTTAATGTTCAAGGGAAAGGGCAGGGGGGCGGCACAATAAACAGGGTGCAACATTATCAGCGCTATAGAGAGCGAAAGGTTCGCGATTTGGCAGTTTGCAGGCGCAGGAATATGAGACACTCCCCCCCATAGTCTTTTCGTGCTCAGCGCGTTCCCGCACGCTTTGGGGGATTTGGAAATTCAGCACACGCGACTAGTGCAGTTCCATCCCAAAATTCGCTTGGTTGTTTGCATGCTTGCATGTATGGATATCTTTCAGCACGAAGCACCTGACTCGCTGAGGCCGGTGCCGGTGAATTGGGATGTGATCTTGGTGGAACAGGAAGCAAAAGCAACGGAACGATCTGCTGTTGAAGAAGTTCTAGCAGCAGACGTGAGGTGGGTCAAGCATTGCTGTTTGCTGTTCTCCACGGCATTTGCTGAAGGGCGGCGCAGCTCATACAAGCAGAGGAGGAGCTCCTCCAGAAGCTGGAGGACTTTTACTTTGCATATCTTTGCATAATGCCAAGCAGTACGGGGTCGTGTTGAAGTCCAACGACGTACTGTTAAATCACCAGGGCTTTGTCTTGCTCAGGACATGGAGCAAGCCATGGAGAAAGGAGAGGAGGTTTCAGGTGATGAAGTGGAAAGGACTCTTGGGGATAGCCGGCAAAGTGGCCACGATATCCGTGATTCTGCACGAATGTCGAATGCGCCCCAGGATGCGCTCTGAGCTTGAAAACACCTCAGCAGAGCTTGAGGCTCCGGGAAGCCATCGAGAATCGAGAATGCTTTATGGATGTTGTGTACATTGCGCAATGCAGTTTTTGGGGAACAGTCAGCGCCGCTTGCATATCATTCCTTGCAAAATGATGTCTGGTCTCCGGCGGTCTCGGGGGGCTCTTTGGCTCTCTGTCAGTCTCTTCACTGCAAGGCCATTGGTGCAGACTCGGCAGAAGCCAGAGCCGCGCTGACGCAATTGATTTGTGGAGCTCATGAGCTTTTGCTAAGACCGCTCTTTGTTGGGCCCATCGTCGTGCCGAGGTGCGGAAAATTCTATGTGGCACTGACCCAAGCATCCCAAGCACGTGGTCGCGTGCCCTCCCCCGGTTTTCCTCCCAAGGTTTGGGGTTTACCAACGGCCATCCAGACGAAGACCGCTTTTCAATGGACAGGCCGAGATGCGTGACTCATGGTCCCTATTTTGTTAGCAGCTGCACCCCTTCACCACTACAACATTTTGTGAAGCAGCAACAACTACGAACCGCTGGAGTTTTGACACGTCAATGAAGCATACAGAGCTTGCCTGACAGGCCCGTTGTGCAGTTTTCCGGAGGATGGCGAATGAGAATAAGTCTTGCGAAGGCCTGGCAGCGACATGGCAGTGATACAGCTCGCGGCCATCTTGCTGCATCCAAGGCGCTGTTCTTGCAGCCGAAGCTTCTCATGTTAGATGAGCCAACGAATCACTTGGATTTGGACGCGGTGCTACCCTGAGTCGTTGCCAGGACTGCTAGGATAGCCAGAGTGCATACATGTGACTGCCACATCCGGACTTCTGTGTGCCATTTGTCTGTGCAAAGCCTGCGTTTGCTCCTAGGTTTTGTGGCTGGACACCTACTTGTCCGAGCATTATCCCCACTCTGTGGTTGTTGTATCGCATGATGCTGACTTCCTCGACAGCATTTGCAGCTCTGCTTGACATGGACTGTGCTACTGAGTCTACTGTAGTTTTCACTCTGCTTTTGCAGTTGGTCTGGTTGGAGCCTCCTATACCGTTGTCGTCACTGGAAGATGTGAATGGGTGGTGCCATGTGGCACGCTGCAGCCACAAGCCAGAGTTGTCAAACAAATTCTCAGGGCGTGACAAGCTCCCAGCAACCTCGAGAACTGCGTAGCGATTTGCCTCCAAAGCAGTTGCGGGTCTTTTTCCGATGGAACACCAATGATATCATCCGAAGATTAGTCGAAATCCTAGTGAAAGACAGAGGCGATAGCGTTTTTTCCTAGGGGAAAACCAAGCAAATTGACCAAGCAAATTGACCAAGCAAATTGACCAATGTAGTGCGAATTCCGTGAACATGAGCAAGCATCTTATGAAAATATGTAGGCAATAGAGTTTCCCAGAAAAAACCGATTAAAACACGGAGGCAATAGAGTGTTCCCAGGGAAACCAAGAAGGAAGTTACCAAATTAGTGCGAATCATGCAGTTTAATATTGGAAATACAGCGGCAAGAGAGTTTTTCTAGGGAACAAACCTATTAAAATACAGAGGCAATGGGGTATATCATAGGCAAAACCAAGGGAATTGACCGTTGAGGTTTTTCTCGTAAGAACGCAGAGAAATAGATGTTCTTGTGTTGAAATCACAGAGAAAAATAGAGGCTTCCTGCTAGATTAGAGAAAGTAGAAGTTTTCCTACCCACCCCCCCAACCCCAAAAAGATTTCGAAACCCAAAATCGCGAGAAAACATCTCCACCCGTTTGAATGGTGCATATACCAACGTGCAATGAGAGGAGAACGCTTGTCGCACGCAATATGGTGGCGCGTGTTGGGGAGCCATCAAATCCATGGCGGAACTTTGCCACAAGAGCGTAGGTCCATGCATGGGAAACCATGGTGCATTTCCGGCCAGTTTGCAAGGGAGGGAAGATGCGCTTCTCCGGCTGGGGGTAAGGAGGTAGGGGTGGGGGAGGGGGGGGGGGTAGGGACTAATGCCCTGATGCACCGCCCACTCCGCAGGGGCTGAGGATTAAGTGGTGGGTACCTGCCAGAACCCACTGGTTTGTTTTGTCCGCTCAATCGGCTCAGGTACAGACATTTTGCATCTGGAGGAACCTGTGCAACGGCGGATTCTTTGCTGCACACGTACCTTTTCCAGGGCTGCAGTGTTTTGGCCATTGAAGGACAGAAAGCTGGTGCATTATCGTGGCGACTATACAGCTTTCAAGAAGATGCACCTGCAGAAGCGGACGACATTGGACAAAGAGTACAAGAAACAACAGGAGCTTGAGCTCGGCAAAGATTGACACCATGTTGGAGAAGTGTTTATGAAGTTTACGCAACGATGCTCTTGCAGCCATCTCCCTCCCATCTCTTCTCTCGCTCTCGCTCTCGCTCTCTCTCTCTCTCTCCCTCTCTCTCTCTCTGTCTTTCTCTTTTCTCTCTTTACCTTCCACCGCACGTTGCAAGGATGAGCTCAAGGCTTTGAAAAAGAAAGGAAAGACAAAGGCCGCGAGCAATGCCTGACTATTGTCTTACAAGTATGTGAAGTCCGCATATCTTGGCTTTCCCAGCCTTGAAACATGTCTTGCAGCAGTGAATGATGTGAATGTGCAGGATGAGGCTGAAGCCCTGGTTAAAGCCAAGTTTGGAATCGACGCCTTGGACGGGCTCATGGAGAAGCAGAAAGACTACATCGTGAAGTTTAAGTTCGAAGGCCATGGAATGGACAGAACTTTGGGCCTGAATGTTTCTGATGTCGCATTCAGCTACAATGGAAAAGAGCCTTGGCTGCTTGAAGAAGTCGAGATTGGTGTGGACTGCGGATCACGCATCGCAATAGTTGGACCGAATGGAGCTGGAAAGTCTACGCTCCTGAACCTGATGATGCAGCATCTGGAGCCATGCTCTGGTGACGTAGCAGTTTCAAAAGGGATTCGCATCCGTCAATACCACCAGCACTTCGAAGAGCTCTTGCCTTTAGATAAGACTGGTGTTGAGTATCTCACGGATGAGTTTAACCTTGGTCCACCAGAAAAGGCCCGCTCTGTGCTAGGACAGTTCGGGCTGCCAGGAGCTTCCCACTTCACCAAGATTGGAAATCTGTCGGGAGGCCAAAAGGCTCGCGTAGCGTTTGCAGCGCTGATGCTCATGAAGCCACACATAATTATTTTAGACGAGCCAACGAATCACTTGGACATTGAGTCTGTTGAAGCGTTGACCACGGCCATCTCCAACTTCAATGGCGGCTTGGTTCTGGTGAGTCACGACGCCAGACTCATTACCGAAGTTGACTGCGAGCTTTGGGTGTGCGAGGACGGCGGTTGCTATCGCTTCGAGAAGGACTTTGATGGCTACAGGGACAAAGTCCTGCATCAACTTGAAGAACGTCAGGCTGAAGTGGAGCGGATGGAGCAGAAACGCCGAGAGGAGAGGGCCAAGAAGCGCGCGAAGCACGTCTCCGACGAGAAGCTCAAGGCCGCCAAAGAGAAGGTCCAAGACAAAGAGAAGGAAGCCAAGTCGAAGGACAGCTATCGGCTTTCGGGCTTTCAAATCGTTCAAGAGCGTTTTTTTGGGCGCTTTCCTTGCACAGTTGTTGTTGGCAAGGCCCGAAGGAGGTGTTTTCACAGTTCTCACCCCACCAACATGTCTTCGCTCTCCGTTGTGTTTGTGTGCTCACGGCAGTGCTCCAGAGCAAGTATCCCACAGGTCGTATCCCTGCAGAGTATCCTGCCAGCCCCCCCCCCCCCCCCTCATCACAAAAGCTAACGCCCCGGGAGCTAGCGGATTCTCTTAACCATCAGATTGTCAGATTGAACAACACGGGCATGGGGAGGGGTCCAGCTGGGGCTGGGCCCCACTTGGTTTCGGTCTCCACCAGGGTTTTTCAGGCCTTAGTCGGGGCACTTCAGCTAAGCGCCCTGTAGGCTCAGCGTTATTACATATCCAAGCACGTCGAAACCATGTAAGGGTGAGCTAAATGCTAAGTCATCTCCAAGAGCAGCGTCGAAGCCATGTACGGGTGAGTTTAGTGCTCAGGCGATGGGTGAGGAGTAGGCTGGCCGAGGAGTTCAACAACCCCACTCCGAGGGTGGGGAACAATGAAAATCCAATTGGCTTACGGGAACATCGCTTCTAGTGCTAAGCTTGTACTACAGAGCGATGAAAATCCAGGCTGATTTACGGAAACATCGATTCCAGTACTAGCCTTTGTACTGCGAATCACTGCAACCTTTTGAGGCATGGTCCCACGGTCCCCTAGTACAAAAAGCATATGGGCCTCACCTACAGCGATAACATGGCTTCCACGTCTTTTCACTCTCCTAGCAAATGCTGTGCGTCACTCATGTGAATTCATTTCGCTCTTTACAATCTTCACTTCTGACTGCACTGGGCAGTCAACCGCAAGTCTCACACTTGCCTGTTTGGTCGACGCTGTTCTCCTGTGGCTTCTCGAGCAACTGCACTAGCTTTCGTTCCTGCCGTCCCCCACAAATCTTTGAGTCCCTGGAGCCCACCTGCCCTCCATTGCCCTCCCACTGTCGGAGTGCCTGTGCCCAATCCTAGTTGATGCCGACAGTGAGCATTGAGATCATCCTTCTGAAGTGCCCAACCCCCCGATGTTCCCTGAGCAATCCCAGATGATCGGATGGTGCACGTATCTTTGCATGGCCCGTTACTCGTTACGAAGACTCACAATGCAACGCAGGGGGCACGTGCCTAACAGTCAGCCTAGGTGAGGCTGACTGTTTCGCAGGTGGCCAGATGTGAGGGAGACGCGATGCCAATGAATGGAGTCGGTGCTTGGTGTGGGATTGTCTTGTGCTGGTGGGACATGTTCTGCATCGATCCTATTTGCAGCGCCGTGAGCAATTGCAGGTCATGAGACATATGTCCATATGTTGGCTGATAGTCTCCACGCCATGTAAGTCTTCACTTTCTGCACTAGATTCTGACTCGATGTTTTGGCGACCCGGTGAGGAAGCTGGAAGCACGTGAGCTGAGTGGGAACAGCACACCTACAGTAATCCGAGCTTTGTCACAGCTTGTCGCTTTTCGAGTTTCACTTGGTGTACAGCATGGGTTTGAAGTGGGCCCGTGCGGACCTGCACAGTGGTGCCGGTTCCGAGCACAAACTGCTTCAAAAAGTCGGTGATATGTGCAGCATAACGTCCAGTATCACCAACAGTCGTGCGGATCGCCTCACAGTACGCGGTATTGTGCTACGATATATCTAACGGGGCTGTCGTCAACATCCCACGCCAGAATTGGGTGGCGCAGCCGGGTGCCAGTGAAGGTGCCCTGCACGGCCCCACTTAGGCCGCTTAGAAATCTGAAGAGCCAACCCTGATCTGTCTTAACAGTAGATGAGTTCGAGCAAACAATTCATCAGCATTTTGTAGCATTTGAGTTTCTCCTAGACTGACATTGTTGAGATGCTTTGGTCAATTTCTTGCTGGTATGCTTCTCTTGCTTGGTGGCGATCTCTTCGTTGTGGTATTCTCTGTATGGCTTCTGGTATTCTAACGTTTACTTTCTCTGTTTCGTTTTGCAGGTTGTGAAGGTTTCACACACTCGACGGTTTTGCAGCAATGCAGCAACTGTAGCTTCACCCTCCTCCTAATGTGTGCGCTCCCTATGTGCCCTCATCTCTTAAGGTCATAGCATACTAAAGTACTTGGCTTAGCTCCCCCGCCGACCACGGCTGAAGGCACCCGAACTGGGGCGAGCAGCGCACTGTACACGGTGCAAGCAGCAGGCAAAGTGCACGAAGACGAGGTGTGAACCTCTAAACATCGGATTTCTGTAAATGTTGCAACACCACGAACAGTTAAATCGTTAGCACATCCTGAACTATAAAGGTCCAAATCTATCTCACTGCATCTATCTTACCGCCTTTGAATATGCTGAGTAACTTGTTCCCCAAACAGTTCTACTGGTTGGGTCCTAAATTCGTTTAAGGAATTGCCGGCATTCTGGTGAGCATTGCCGGGTTCCTGGGCAACCATGTCTTCCTTTGTCTCCCTTCATGTGGGTGGCCTTTGTCGGGTTCCTGGGCGTCTTGTCTCCCTTTGTCTCCCTTTCTCTCCCTTCATGTGGGTGGCCTTTGCCTGAGCGTCTTGTCTCTTTCTCTCGCTTTGTCTCCCTTCATGGGGGTGGCCTTTGCCGGGGTCCTGGGCGACTTGTCTCCCTTCGTCCTTTGTCTCCCTTTGTCTCCCTTCATGTGGGTGGCTTTGCCGGGATTTTGAGAGTCTTGTCTCCCTTTGTC